CTTGTATATAAATACATGCTTCCATTAAAAAAAAAAAAAAAAAAAAAAAGATGCATTTACCCAGGAAAGCTAAGCTCATCTACAATGTCTATTTGTTTGTTTTTAAATGAGACTTTGCTTTCTTACAAAATTGCAGGTTTCTTTCATTAGCTTCAATTACTTGTAAAGTTGACAAAGATGAGTGAGAAGCAGGATGGTGGTGGGTAGTGGTGTTGTTGCAGTCATGATGGTCCAAGGAACCTGCAAAAAGCAAGGTTTGTTTGGAAGTATCTTTTACTGGAGTCCAGTAAAAGATATGACCAGGCAAACCTTGCCTCTTGCAGATTCGCATCTAGCATATTAATATCTCTTGTCTGTTACTGGACGAGCTATATAGTTGGTTCACTAAAAAAGTATTGCCAAACAAAGTGTGCTTCTCTGCAGAGATAGTCAGCCTTTCAGGTAAGGGAACCGTTAGTTCTGTCTTGCCAATAGCAGCCTAGCAAAGAATTTAAGCATGCGTTTAACTGTAAGCATGAGTAGCTCTATTTCGTTCAGAATTCAAATTGTGCTCAAGTGCTTTGTCACTGGAGTGCTTAGCTTCACACCAGATCAGAGCATTTCGTCTCATCATAAAAGGCCATGTAGATCTTTATTCCTTCTAGGTTCTTGCGTGTGAATTTAAACCCCCAGAAAGTAATGTCATAAAACAAGATTTCAGATGAACACTAAGGGCTGATGGTCTCTTAAAAAGAATCCAATATCTGTGAAAATATGTGGAGTAGTTATAACTAGATGGGAAGTGAGGAAGTAGCTCTAACCAGGGTTTAAAATGTGCAGCACTTATTTTCCAGAATTTCCATTGCATTGGTAACCAATATTCAAACCAAAGAGGTTTGGCACTGAGCACACAATATGATTCAAGTTGCCAAGAGAAATGTCAAGCCTATAGTCTAATGCACATCTATTGTTTTCTACACACGTGGTGTTAGATGAAATTTTATTTTGAAACCTAGTACTGCAATGTAGCAGTGGTATTTTGTTAATGAGGAATTATCAGAATAGCCCAGGACTTCATTTACAGGCATTTTGCAGATTGCACGTTTGTTTAGAGAATCCAGCAGCCTGTCAGACTACTTGATTGTAGTTTATTAAGAACTAGGTACATCAGTGGTGGCCAAACCACAGCTCACAAGCCATATGTGGCTCACTGGCATGGTAGTTGTGGCTCTCTGCAAATTGGCTGAAGCCCTGCCCATGTCTCCCCGAAGCGGCTCCGGGTAACAGTGCAGCCCTGCACCTCCCGCTGCTCCCGTTTTCCCTGCAGGGAGCGTGCCCCGAGCCCGCCCTCCTCTCTCCGGGACTGCCGGCTCAGCCACTGGGCTGCTGGGGAGGGGCTGCAGCACACTCCCCACAGGGAAAGCCAGAGCAGCTTGGACGTGGGGGGTGTCACCTCCACTCCAGGTCGCTCAGCACCCCCCACCCCCATCCCCACCCCTTCTCTGGCTCTTGAACTTCAGTGGAGGATCAGGTGTGGCTCCCAGGGTGAGTAACTCTGGCCACCCTTGAGGTATATGCTATTTGAAACTTTTATAATGAAGCATTAGTTATGAGTGAACATAACTTAGCCATGTTTTATGTTAACTGCACTGTTGATATGTACTAGGAAGACCTACTAAGAAGCTATGAGGGTCAGTCAGAAATTAATGCCTCTTCTTCTCAGCCAAATATTATTGAAACGATATTAAACTTGCACAAAACTTGTTCATCATCTCTGAATGCACATCTTTTTTTTCGACACAGTCTCCACCATCAGCCTTTTTCCACTGGAACAAGAGCATGTATCCTAACATCATATGAGGATCAGTCAGAAAGTGGTGCCTCCTAATTTTTCTGTTTTAAGTGGACATGGTTGGTGTTCTTATTGACTTCTTGCCTAAGGGAGCCTTAGTAATCTCAGAGGTCAAGACCCTGAAGAAATTGACACATGGCATGCAGAGGGCCCATCCTGACAGAGGCATGTCTGAAGTTATTTCTGCAAGACAGGGCTCACTTACACACCGGCTTGCAAGCTACAGAGGCAGTCTCCCACCCACTGTACAGCTCGGAGGATGAAGGATTGACTACAAGTGCAACATTTGTGGGATGACTCTGAAGCAGTAGAGATTGTGTAATAAGGACAAGGACTTTTACTTTGTTCATCAGTGGAAACAGATGACTGATGGAGAAGGAGACTGTTGAAAAATAGTCATGTATTCAGCGAGGATGTAAACAATTTCTGTGCAGGTTTAATACTTTCTCAGTGATACTTGGCTGAGGGACAGAAATAGGAGGCATGCCTTTCTGAATGACTTCAGTAGTTTTAGTAGGTTAAACTATCTTTTTTTTTTTATATTAGAGGCTTTCAAGGTTTTGTGTTTTTTGTTTTTGTTTTTTGTTTTGCTGGTTATCAGC